CGCAGAGCCGGCTCCGCGGCCAGCATCTCGGTGTTCCACGCCTGCGCGCGGACTGGCCCATCGCGCTCCTTTTTTCTCCCGCCTCGTCAGAGGATTTGGACGAATAGTGGGAGAGAGAGAGCTGGGCTTCTGCCAATCGTTGGAACCGTGGGCGGGGCCGGAGGCGAAAAAGGGGTGGCTCATCTGGAAAGAGGAAACGTAGAAGGCGTAGGGCTGTAAGACCAGTCAGAGGACGAAGAAAGGCAGGGGGAGGTGGGACCAAAGAAATAACCAATAGAAATGCAGGAGCCTGAACCTCCTGGCCAATAAATGTGACTGAAGAGTGAATGACCGCGGAAGGGCGGAGGAGAAGGCAGGGGATGTACGAGTAAGAGGTGGGGCCTGGCAGCTTCTTGACCAATAGGAACGGTAAAAACGGAGCCAATGAAAACGGGAGTAGGTGGTGGCCAAATTGACAGGCAGTGATGTCTCTTTAGGCGGTGACAGACAGCATCCGCAGTCAATAGGAAGAGCTGAGGAATTCTTTAGGTCTCCCAAAATGGTCAGTTAGGAATGACAGCTGGGAGGAGGCGGGGCAAGCTAGAGATTAATTCGCCTCGTCAGCCAATGATCGTGTTCTCCCACTTCGACCAGAGGACAGGAAAATAGATAGCTGTCTCAGCCAATGGGAGCATCCAAAGGGCAAAGACGCTGCCAGCAGGCGGTGCCAGCCCAGGGATAGTCGGTGACAACCGGAGACAAGCCCTACGGGAGGGTGACAGCTGGGGACAGTACGGAGAAGGGGCGGGGGCATTAGTGCAGCCCTCAACCAATGAGTGCCGCGCTGCCCTTCTCGAGTCCTTCCAGGGCCCCTATTCTTCGTTTAACTCCTGAGCCCCCAACTCTGGTGGTCTGTGGGACCCTGAGCCCCACCACAGATCCAGTGCCCTGACCCAGTACCCTCAGCCTTTACTCTGTAATTCTCCGATCCCGGCCCCAAACTAACCCCAACACTCCAGGCCCAGGTTGCAATAGCCAGAGCCCCTAGATCCTATAAGCAACCCATCTCTCTGCTTCACCCATTTCCTGCGGGAATCCCAACCTCCAAGTCCCTCTCCTCAGTTCCCATCTATCTGAGCTCCTCCCCAGAACCCAGGCTCCAATTCCTCAGACCTTATGCCTCTGAGTACCCCCACCATTTCTTCTAGTGAGGATCTCAAACCCCAAATCCATGAATCCCCAGTACCATGAACTCCCCATATGTGTGTTATTATTCTTTTGGGGATCCGAGGCCCCAGTCCCGTCAACCCCTTCCCCTCAGTGCCACATCCCTCTGTGCTCCTCATGTTCCACTGAGAACCCCGACCTCAATCTCATGAGCACTCCCAGGTTGTCCTTAGATCACAAGCATAAAGACCTGACGTTATGAGCTCCAACCTTCCAACTTCTAAACACCCTCTTCTTTCTCTGACCCCCATAGTCCGATTTCCATATAGCATCCACCATTCTGGAATTCCAGTGAGAACTGGCTCCCGACTTTTCAGTTCCTCCTTGGTTTCTGAGTTCTCAAAGGTCCCTCACTCTCAACTCAGTCCCAAGTCCTGTCAATTCCCATTCAGTGTCTGATCTCCTCCTCACCTTTCCCATCTCCCATTTGACCCAAGCTTCCTGAGCACTCCTCCCATTCCCCTTTTTGGAGTCCTCCTGCTCTCCCAGAACCCAGTAATAAGTGGGCTCCTCCCTGGCTTGGACCCCCATGGTAACCCTATAAGGCGAGGCAGCTGCCGTCTGAGGCAGGGAGGGGCTGGTGTGGGAGGCTAAGGGCAGCTGCTAAGTTTAGGGTGGCTCCTTCTCTCTTCTTAGAGACAACAGGTGGCTGGGCCTCAGTGCCCAGAAAAGAAAATGTCTTAGAGGTATCGGCATGGGCCTGGAGGAGGAGGGAGGGGGGAGGGCGAGGCATCTTCTTCAGGACATCGGGTCCTAGAGGGAGCAGGAGGAGAAGGAGATGGTTGTCCTTGCCAACCTGGGGCTTCCTCAGCCACTATTTTTCCAGACTTCTGCTGCATGGAGGGGACTGGGTCACTGAGGCCCAGAGGGAGAAGAGAGGGTACATCAAAGCTACACAATCAGCCAAGCTGGCTCTTGGCCAGAATGAAGTGAGCAGCCACTGGCCATCAAGGCACCTCACAGAAGGTGACCAGCTGGCTGTCCTCTTAGGGTCTTTGCCTCCCCTCCTGAGTTCCAGCCTCCACACCAGTACCCAGAGAAAATATTCTAGACTCATACTAGATCACATCCTTCTTCTGCATGAAACCTTTCCAAGGTTCCCCAGGGTCTCCATCCTGTGCCTGACCTTGAAGGCCCCTCAGGGGCTGGTCACCAGCCCCATCACAATTCTGGCAACCTGAATACCTCTGATCTTGTGTTCTCCAGGCCTTTGCTCAGGCCATGCCCTCTGCCCAACACACCTGCTCCTCCACCTGCACCTGACTCCCTAGCCCACATGAAGCCACTCCCATACTCCTAGACAGGGCTGCCGAGCCCTCCACTTCTGGGCTCCTGACCAGCCCTGGTATGTCACTTTCTGCATTCATTCCTGTCTCTATGGCTAGACTGTAAGTTCCAGCAAGGCAGGGATAATTATTAGTCATAATGCAAGTTCTGTGGGATGGGAACTACCTCTCCCTTTTACAGAGGGGAAACCAAGGCCCAGCACAAAACCTGAGACCACAAAGTATCTCACCTCAAAAAAATCCCTCTCAGCTTGGCACGGTGGCTCACGCCTGTAATCCCAGCACTTTGGGAGGCTGAAACGGGTAGGTCCCCTGAGGTTGGAGTTCGAGACCAGCCTGGCCAACATGGTGAAATCCCATCTCTACTAAAAATACAAAAAATTAGATGCCGGGTATGGTGGCTCACGCCTGTAATCCCAGCACTTTGGGAGGCCGAGGCAGGTGGATCACGAGGTCAGGAGATCGAGACCATCCTGGCTAACACCGGGAAACCCCGTCTCTACTAAAAATAC